AGCAGGGCGATCATGATTCCACCCTCAGTCACGCTCAGGGTAGGGCCGATTGGGGGTTGGGGCACCACCCCCTGTCACACTCAAGGCAGGGTCAATGGGGAGGTTGCAGCGCCACCCCCTGTCATGCACAGAGCAGGGCCAATCAGGGGGTTGAGGCATTTCCCCCTGTCACTCACAGAGCAGGGCCCATCAGGGGGGTCGGGGCTCCGTACCCTGTCACGCACAGAGCAGGGCCAATCAGGGGGTTGGGGCGCAGTCCCTTGTCATGCACAGAGCAGGGCCCATCAGGGGGTCGGGGCACCGCCCTCTATCACCCACAGAGAAGGGCCGATCAGGGGGTTGGGGCGCAGTCCCCTGTCATGCACAGAGCAGGGCCCATCAGGGAGTTGGGGCACCACCCTCTATCACCCACAGAGCAGGGCCGATCAGGGGGTTGGGGTGCCGCCACTCTCACACTCAGGGCAGGGCCAATGGGGAGGTTATGACTCTATCCCGTCACACACAGAGCAGGGCCCGTGGGGGTTGGGGGGTTGGGGCGCCGCACCCTGTCACACACAGAGCCGCAGGGCGATCAGGGGGTTTGGGCGCTGCCCCCTGTCACGCTGATCCCGGTGCCCGGGAGGCCTCGCAGCTCTGCTGATCCCGGTGCTGGGAGGCATATTACCTTTTTACTATATAGGGTAGAGGCCTGGTGCATGGGTGGGTGCCAGCTGGTTTGCCCTGAAGGGTGTCCTGGATCAGGGTGGGGGTCCTCACTGGGGTGCCTGGCCAGCCTGGGTGAGGGGATGATGGCTGTTTGCAGCTGGTCACACACCCTTTAGGGTTGGGGTCCCCACTGGGGTGCCTGGCCAGTCTGGGTGAGGAGCTGAGGGCTGTTTTCAGGCTGGGGGTAACTGAAGCTCCCAACTGCTCCTTTTTTTCTTTTTTTTTTCTTTTTTTATACTGGGCCAGCTTTAGCTTTGAGGCTTGGCTCCAGCTCTTAGGCCTCTGCTGCTGAAAGTAGGTTTCTGGCCTTTGCTTACAGTGTTGCGATCCTGCTGGCTGAAGCCCGGCAGGTTTCTGGGGTTTTGTTTAGCTTCTTTGTTTGTTACATAGTTGCTTGCAGCTCAGAGGCCTGCAGTGGCAGGCGGGGAACGTTGGAGTCCTCCGTCACTGAAGCAAGCAAGCCTCATGTTAGTTTCAAGCTGCCTGGCTGCCGGCCGCCATCTTGGCTAACAGTTAATTTGCATATTGCCCTGATTAGCCAATGGGAAGGGTAGCGGTCGTACGCCAATTACCGTGTTTCTCTTTTATTAGATAGGATGTTATTTTTATGTTAATGTACTATCACTAAATATTTTTGGCTGTACTAGAATATAATATGAAATGAGCATATATCTAGGCTGAGTACCAAGCAGTTTTTTTATTGTAGAGCTGCTTCTGTCATTTTATTTTTTCCTTCTGTAATTTCAAATTTGATAGTTATAATTTAATTTTAGGTTTTAAAAATGTTAGTAATTTATATCTTCAGAGCATTTACTGCTTATCAGTGGTATTGCAGCAACGTCATCTCTTCCCTCAGCATTCCCATCTCAGTTGCTCCAGTCGGAAACTTGGAAATCTTAGTACTTTTGGATACCTCATCCTTGGCTTACACTGTGTGAATCCAATTGTTGACCAAGTCCTGTCTGCCTCCAAATAACTTGAATATACCACTTTTTTCAGTATCCACTGACCCATCCTAGTCGAGGGAACTACATTTTTCTTGGGAGTATTGTAGTATCTTATTTCCTCAAACTTTCCCTGACTCAGTCCATTCCTTTGTGTTAGTTTCTATTTCATTTTAAATCTTATTGAATATATGTATGCATCATGTTTAAGAAATTAAATATTTCCATAAGACAGTGGTTCTCAACCTTCCTAATGCTGCGACCCTTTAATACAGTTCCTCATGTTGTGGTGACCCCCAACCATAAAATTATTTTCGTTGCTACTTTATAACTGTAATTTTGCTACTGTTATGAATCTTAATGTAAATATCTGATATGCAGGATGTATTTAGGAAACCCCTGTGAAAGGGTCATTCGACCCCCAAAGGGGTCTCTACCCACAGGTTGAGAACCGCTGCCGTAAGAGAACATAATATAGCAATACCCAAGTCCAGTTGCTCCCACCCTTCCAGCCTCCACTCTCGAGCCCCACACCAAGTCTCTTAGCTCTTCCTCCTTGGAGGAGTTTATGTCCAGTTTTCAAAATCTAAATGTCTGTTATTTGTGATTTTTTAAATTTTGGATATGATTTATTGACTCTCTACTATAGAAGATGATTTCACTCTCATGTATTCTCTTCCCCTCACATTTACACAATTCACTTCCTCTTTTTCCCATATAGTTGTGTCACAGTTTTGACATGAATCAGTAAACCATGGCTTAGCTGTAAAGAACAAGTTATTCTTGGCTCAGTTATTCTTTACAGTTGAGCCATGATTTCTTAAATTCTGTTTTCCTTAAGCTAATAACTTGTATTAGCTTTCTCTGTACTTTCACTAATTTTTCTGCCAGAAGTGAATGTATTGAGTGTGTCCACTCAATGTGTTTAAACACTTCAGATATCTTTCATCTTTCAGAGACTCAAGCCTCTTAGAATCGCTGTCCTCTTGGTACTTACTGTCTGGACTGTTGTTCTTAAGGTGTGCTCAGAGCTTTGTTCCAGGACCTCCCTTTACTGTTAACCTGGGAATTCCAAATATTTTCTTTCTCTGTTGGCTTCTGGTTTCCTGGATCCCATCTCTTTTGTTTCTTAATTTGCTAGTTTGTTTTGATGGAACACATTCTACTAGTTCTCTGAGAATAGGTGCATAGAAGGAAAATTCTGAGACTTGAATGTCTGAGAATGTCTGTAGTATACTTTCATACTTAATGTATATTTTTGTTGGATTTAGAATTCTAGGAATTCTCTTTAATATATTTTATTGATATTTTGCAGAGAGGAGGGGAGAGGGCTGGGGAGTTAGAAACATGAATGAGAGAGAAACATCGATCAGCTGCCTCCTGCATACTCCCTACTGGGGATGTGCCTGCAACCAAGGTACATGCCCTTGACCGGAATTGAACCTAGGACCTTTCAGTCTGTAGGCCGAGGCTCTACCCACTGTGCCAAACCAGTTAGGGCAGAATTCTAGGAATTTGATGGCACTGTCTCAGTGGTCTTTTAGCATCCAGTGTTGCTATTGAGATATCTGATTCCTGTTTTTCTGTGTGTGGTATATTTTTGTTTTGTTTTTTAATTTGACAGATTTTATGATCTTTGTGTCTAGTATGTTGTAATTTTTTTGGTGCTAGGCCTTCATTTGTGTCTTTTTTTCTTAATTCATTGTAATAGGTCCTAGACACATTTTTTCTTGTCCTTCAAGATCTAGGGCATTTTCATGAATTATTTTGTCTATGTGTAAGTTACCTTGTCCCATTTTCTCTGTTCTCTCTTAAAATTATTTTTCTTATTCAGATGTTGACTCCTATGAACTCTTCTAATTAACGTAACATTTTTGTTCCTACTTTTAGCTTACTGTTTAAAAGATTTTATCTCACAATTCTTCTATATATATATATGTTTTAAATTTTATTTTTCATTTCCGAAAGCTCTATTTTTTCTCTGGTTATTTCTTTTTTAATCCTACTGGTTTTTCTGATGGGAGCAATGTTTATTCTTAGCTATTTGAGAATATTAATTACATGGTTTTGTCTTTTTCTTTTCTCCGTTTTCTTTTGTTCCCTGCCCTAACTCAGTTTCCTGAGTTCTTTTATTTCTTCCTATAGATTCTGGGTTTTTTTCTGGTGGTCTTTGGTGTTCCAGCATGGCTCTTATTTTGAATCTTGGACCCCTTCATCAGACAAACCTGTGGAACTAAACACTTTTTTATTTATATTCACTCATTCATTCATTCATTCATTCATTCATGTTTATCCTAACCCAAGGATATGTTTATTGATTTTTAGAAAGAGAGGAAAGGAAAGATAGAGAACCATTGCTTGGTTGCTTCCCCAACGTGCCCCGACCAGGGACTGAGCCCAAAACCTAGGAATGTTCCCAGACCAGGAATCAAACCCGAGACCTTTTGGTGTATGGGACGACGCTCCCACCAACCAAGACACCCAGCCAGGGCTGAACAGTATTTTTAAATGAGAGGAAATAAATTTTGTTAAAATACACTTATCAAAGTATTTTTAAACTGTTACATAGCAATGTACCTGTTTTTTAATAATCTATTAAATAAGATCTAGAGGTGAGAGATCATAATATTGATGATGAGTGTGTTTTTGAAGTATCTTGTAATGCAATATGAAAATACATTATTTTTATTAGTGACAGAGTCACAATAATTCTTCTGTAACCTGTAATCACAATAATTGCTAAATCTTCCATTTCATTTATATTGAAAAGGAATGTCATTATAGTTAGAGGTTAGTACAAAATACAAATTTAATTTTTTTTACATACAAGTTCTTGAGCCCTTTGAATTCTATTAGCAGACCCTTTGGGGGATCAAGAATCCCTTAATCAGAGGTTTCTTAAACTGCCTGGTCGTTGGTTGTCAGCTCAGAGTGAGGTGCTGGAGAGGGAGAGACAGAGAGAAACATCGATGTGAGAGACACGTCCGTTGGAAGCTCTGACTGAATGGGGCTTGACAACTGGGAGGCTTTACTTTGTTTGGGCTGCGGGATGCTCGGCTTTCCTGACCTGTGGATCTTTCCTCTCGGGATTCAAGCCTCTTCAGAGGAGGATCCGTCAACCTGCCTGTAGAGCAGAACTCAAGTCATCTGTGCTCGCCCTCGTGTATCTGCTAGTAACATTTGCTTCTGTGATTTAACTGAATGGTTATAATGTTTGTTACATCTATTCTTACTGAATAAGTCAGTTCTGGGAGGGGATGCACCTGTCTTTAATGTTTTGAAAGCCTTAATATGACAGGAAAACCTGGCTATTTCTTGAGTTTATGTTTAATTTCCAACTTAATTTTCCAGGAGCTTTCAAGTTGTGGATGGAATAAAAAAGAAAAGTATAGTTCTGCACCAAATGCAGTTGCCTTCACAAGAAGATTTAATCATGTGAGTTGATTATAAAATTTTGATGTTTAGTTTCTGAAATATAATTCCTCGGTATGTAATTTTTCATAAAGACATAGTTTACCTTTACATCTGTTCTGGAATATTTTCAGCCCCTATCTCTTCAAATGTTGTCTCTCTACATAATCTCTTCTTTTTTTCTTCTGTAATTTCTATTGGAAATTTGTAAGAACTTGACATTTTTTCCTACTTTTCTTAACCTTTCATATGTTGCATCCTACCCCTTGAGCTCATTCTGTGTGATTTTTCTCAGATCTATAATTTAGTTCACTAATTCTCTTCAGAAGTGTCATATCTGTTTTAAATCTGTATGGTTTTACCCTAGTGTCATTTTTTCTTATTTTTTAAGTCCTTAAATCTTTTTCAAAATTTTATTTTTTGTATTATTTTGTTGTTGTTGTTGTTAATCCTCACCCAAGGATATTTTCCATCGATTTGTAGAGGGAGTGAAAGGGAGAGGGAGAGACAAAGAGAAATATCGATGTGAGAGAGACACATTGATTGGTTACCTTATGCATGCATCCAACCGGGGCCTCCTGCAACCACAGTACGTGCCCTTGGTTCTATCTACTGAGCCATACCAGCTAGGGCAATGTTTATAATTTCTGTGTTATTATCCAAAGTCCTTGGGGGTAATAAATCTCTGTTATTTCTGCTGATCCTTACTCGCAATGGTTTATCCTCTTAGGCATTTTGTAATTTTGGGTTGAGAGCTCAGTCTGTTGAAGCTTTATCTGTGGGGATTTTGCCACCACCTAGTGATGGCGAACCTTTTGAGCTCGGCGTGTCAGCATTTTGAAAAACCCTAACTTAACTCTGGTGCCGTGTCATATATAGAAATTTTTTGATATTTGCAACCATATAAAACAAAGACTTATATTTTTGATATTTATTTTATATATTTAAATGCCATTTAACAAAGAAAAATCAACCAAAAAAATGAGTTCGCGTGTCACCTCTGACACACGTGTCATAGGTTCGCCATCACTGACCTAGATTGAGGGTATATCCCTTCAGATGAGAGGCTTTTGTTTGCTAGTTCCAAGGGCTATCACAGAATTAGGACTGACTCTGGCTATTCTTTATATTAAGTGTTATGTTTAGAGAACATCTACTTCTCTGTAGTGAACATTTAAACTCAAAATCCAACTAAAAGGGCAGGTTGCAAATTCTCATAAAAGACTTATTTTTCTCCTCCCTCTGCCAGTGGGTAAGTTGTTTTATAATTGTACTATATATTGTCAGAGCATATAGACATTGTACAGTGCACTCACTCTCCTTTAACCCTCTTGGTTCTATTAGTAAGTGTATATTTAAAACAACCATCCTTACGTTGATGTTTCTTTAGTCATTTTGGTTGTCTGAAGCTCGTCCTCAAGTAGATTACTCAAGAAAGACTCATTGGAACAATAATTCCTGAACTCTTAACATGTTGGCAAGTTTGCCTGTCTTCTGTATAAAATTTGATATTGTACTCAGTTTTTTCCCCTCTCAGTGTTGGTGTTGAAAAGTATGATGACAGTTAAATTTCCTTCTTCTAAAAAATCACTTTCTCTTTTTGTCTCAATGGCCAAAATATTTTTTTTAAGTACAGTAATATTATTAAACTATGTCTTGGTATTGGTTGTCTGGGTCAGGATTCTTAGGGGGGTTGACTTTAGCTGGGACTGCCGACTGGGGAGCACCCACACTTAGCCTTTCCTGCCTGGTGGTCTGAGCGAAGCTAGACCTCTTCCATGGTAGCCCAGGGGCCAGGAGAGACTGTTCTAGCACGACCTTGTCCAGGAGGTCAGCATCCATTTCTTTAACTCTATTCATCGAGGCGCTCAGGAGCCTGTCCAGATCCAGTGAGAGGTGACAACTTTAGATGAGAGGAATGACAAAGAATTTGTGGTCATGTTTTCTTTTTTTTCTTTTTTAGGACATACATTTTATTTATTTTGTTGTTGTTTTTTCCATTTTTAAAAATCATCATATTTGTCTTAATATTTATCTCACATTAAAATTGACTAAGTCAATGATTATGCAGTTTAGATTGCATTCTCAGTTGATAATTGCTAAGGTTATTGTTAAAATATCTAAAATATAACCTTTTATATATTTTAGAACTAAACTTAGAATTAGGGATAGTTATTGCCATTAGTAGGGCAAATATAGTAACAGATATAAAGATGGCTTTGTAAAATATATACATTTTTCTTTTACATCTACACTTGTAAAATATATATATTTTGACAGTTTACTGATGAAAATAGCAAGTAAAATCTGAAATATTTCTCACTAAAAATAGGTGAAGAAACATGAGGTAGTGGCATCATCTTTTGCACTAAGATTTCTAACTACATCCTGTTTTTAGATTTATATAAATTTGAGCCAAACGATAGTGCTTTTTTATTTTCATTGTACATGAGTTAAAATGTTACATGCGTGTTACATTGTATCATATAATCATACTATTTTCACATGCATAGAACATTTAGTAATATTAAATCTAATGCACCTTCTGATGAATGATTTTAAATGTTCTTTTAAAAGAAATCATGACCGTGGTTTCACCGAACTAGAAAGCACTGCATAACTTTTAAAATACAATCTTAACTTTAGAATGACTTGTATGTATTTTTTATGGTATTTTCATTTTATTCAGACCAAGAAAACTGTACTTGGGATTTTCCACTCTTAAGATTCTGCTCATTATAAATAAATGACAAGTGGGATTACATAGCCATGGAGAACGTGCTCTACCTAGCATATTTTCCAGTGTCTGGTCTTAGAGGTTACCCAATTCTGCCAAAGTATTTCAAAATACAGCAAAAAACACTTGTATTTGTATAGTGTTCATGTTGCATCACTCTGGCTTCATTGCACTCTCTCAGCTCTTTTCCTTCAAAATTTATATTAGCTTCTACCAATTAAAAATAGTAGTGGTGTTTTTATGTGTGTGCACGCATATACATACATGTGCATCTTATTCTGTCTATATATGTGACGTGTATGCAACATTTGAAGATTAGTTATGTCCTGGTGGTGAGTGAAGGGAAAGAGAAAGCTCTAGGTGGGTCTTCATGTAGCTCTTGTCATTACTGTGATCCTAGTGAGTAAAGAATCTTGCCATTCACCTATTTTTAATTTTTATTTGCAGGTAAGCTTTTGGGTTGTTAGAGAGATTCTTCATGCTCAAACATTAAAAATTAGAGCAGAAGTTTTGAGCCACTATATTAAAACTGCGAAGGTAAGAAAAACTTGTGTTTCTATTTTTTAGTTCAACCACTCAGCAATGTTTGTGAATATTTTCCTGTGGTACTTTATTTACTATTTACTGATGCTGGAAAGTAAGATGTATTGATTCATATAAGCCAGTTTTTTAAGCTGGATGCTTGTTTTCTCCGCTTTTTCCTTTATTTCTCTATTTTTTATATCTTTCATACCTTTTTCTCCCTCTCTTAGAATAGCTGAATGACATTATTTATTTAACTGAATAAGTAGACAGGTCAGATTATGGTGAAGTCTGTATTTAAATATTGGACTATTCTGCAGGTAATTAAGAAAGCCTTATAGAATTAAATAGGAGAATGTATAGCAATTAACTGCTTTTGAAATAGATCATTCTGCCACGCATATGGGGAATGATGAGACTTTATTTTTAAAAGAATAGTATAAATGAGGATGTTAACCAAATATGTTAATTACGTAGTTATTGGGGGCATAGGTAATAAATGCAGCAAGAGAAATGGAACATGGATTTAAAGGACAAGCAGAATTTAGAGAGGAGGATGGAATGAACATTCCACAAGAAGATTCCAAGATTTTATTAAAACTTGTAACAACTCCCTGTCCTGGCCAGATGGTTCAGTTGGCTCGAGTGTCATTCCATACACTAAAAGATAGCGGGTTCTGTTCCTGGTCAGGGCACTTGCCCAGGTTACAGGTTCAATCCCAGGTCTGTGCATAAGTGGGAGGCAACTGATCATTGTTTTTCTCTCTCTCTCTCTGTCTCTCTTTCTCTCTCTTCCCCTCCCTTCCTCTCTAAAAAAAAAAAAAAAAAAGGAATATAAAACTTGTAACAACTCCAAATTTATGTTAGGTTCACTAAAAAGTGGTGTACTTATAGCCACATCGTTCTTCTTGTAATAATTATATAACTTGGCTCACCTGCGAATGAAGGAAGCTAGAATAAAATAAGTATTCCATTTTAATAGTTTTAAGTTTTGTAATAATTGTAAAATTACAATTATTGTAAGTCATACCTCTTGCTTATTTTCCTTGAGCTCATGGAACAATTGTATTCTTACATTTTGTGGCACTAGATGGCAGAACTAGCCTTCTAAAATTTGATATTCTGTGGAAATGTCATATAAAATTTTTAAAACATTCTTTGTGGTATGTTAGGTAAATATTGGGTTTTAGCTTACAGAAATTCATGACTTTTCTCCATAGATTATGAATTTACATTATTGTTTTCTCATAATTTTTTTAGTTTTTTATGTGCTTGTATGTTCTACTCAAAACCACCAAATTTTGCCCATCAAACCTGCCATTATCCTGCTTGTCAAATGGCATTTAGGTCAATTTAGGCTCTTAGACTTTTTTTTTTTTTTTTTTTTTTTTTAGGCTCTTAGACTTTGAGTTACGTTTGACGGTGCTTGTTTTGATCCCAAGCCCTACATTCATAACTTTTTGTTTCTCAGTGTCTCTTAAATCCTGTTCTGACTCTCTGCCTTCTACATTAAGTTTGTTACAAAGCTGGCAGGTCTTCTCTTCTTTCAGTAGATTGTATCAGTTTGGGTTCTCTGGAGACAGTAAAATATGTATAAATATTTAATGTATAAATTGACTTAAAGAATTGACTCCTGGGTTTGGGGTTGGGGTTGGGGTTGGGATCAGGGCTGGCAAGTGTGGCATCTGTAGGGCAGATGTCTGCCTCCAGGCAGACAGCCTTGAATCTGAGGCAGGAGTTGAGGCTGCAGCCTGGAGGCAGAATTTCTTCTCTAGGAAACCTCAGTTTTTACTCTTAAGGTGTTTCAACTGATGTGATGCTGCCTACCTGATTATAGAGTATAATCTTTTAATTTAAATGATCCGATTGTAGATGGTACATCTACAAAGTATTTTCATAGCAACACCTAGATCACTGTTTGATTAAATAACCGGATACTATAGCCTAGCCAAGTTGGTACATAAAACTAATTATCCATAAACACAAAAGAGTATTTATAAAATTTATTTAAGGTATCAAAACAATGATAGAGTGAATTGCCTTGTGCCCACTGCCGACTTTAAATTCCCGTCTCTTCTTATGCAATCCCCTAACCTCCCACTACAAAAGGAACCACTTCCCTAAATTTTGGTTGCTCCTCTTTTATACTTTTACTATATGTGTGCGTGTATCCCTGAATAATATATTGTTGTATATGATTTTGAATTTTGTTTAAAATGAATTAGTCCATGATACTTTATTCTTTCACAACTTGGTATGTGTTTTTTTCACTCAGCAGTGTTACTGGATGGCTTTGGGTATATCTCTGTTGTATTCTGTTGTTTGCATATACCACAAATTGTTCAGTATGTTTTAGCTTGGGTAGTTTTTAGATTATTGCTGTTATAAACACTGCTGCTATAAAGCATTCTTGTGTGGGTCTCTTGGTGCTTATGTGAAGGTGAAACCCTAAAAATGCATAGAGAAAAATCTACCTTCAAAGAAATGACAGACCAGTAACCTTTCATTGAATCTGATGAGAATGAACATTTTTTATATTTTGGCCATTTAGGGTTGTTGTTTTTTCCCCCTGAAATGTCTATTCAAGATCTTTGAATAATATTCTATTATGGTGTTGGTCTTTTCTTTTTATAGGAGTGTTTTTTAATATGTAACTAATTTCTAGTTTTCTATTATATACTTTGCATACATCTTCCTATTTGTGGCTTGTCTTATTATTACTCTTTTCATGTTATCTTTTGACATAGATGTTCTTAGCTAAGTAATAAAACATATTCATCTTTACTTAATTTTATTGTCTTCTTTAAGGATATTTCATTTAAGAAAGCTCTGAGAATTTTTTTTAAAAAAATGGCTTTTTAATTAGCCTTTAAAAGTTTCATAGCTTGAGTATTTCCTCTATGTGGAGTATATTTAATATATAATATGAATGAATTATACATTCCAGTTCATAATTTTCCATGAATAATCATTCCAGCAGCATTCTTAAAAATCCTTCTTTCTTAAAGCTTTCTTTATTTTATTTTGTCTGACAGCATCTTTTTATCACACTTGTTCTTGAAAAAATGCTATTTCAGACTTACAGGTTGTTTGTTTGTTTTTTTAATGTATTTACTCTGTTTAGGATTCCTTGAGTTCCTGGCTTTAGGAATGACTGTCTTTTAGTAATTTGGGAAAATAATCTGCCATTGCATCACAAATATTGTTTCTGCCCCATTATTTTTTTTAGTATCTCCTAAAAAGTGAGATAAATGTTGGCCTTTTTGCTGTACCTTTCATGTCCCTTAACTTATTTTAAGAATTTTTAAAACTCATTGGCTTTTATGTTGCATTCTGGATAGGGCCTTCACAATTAATCTTCATTTTATTTGAGAACAACATACCTGATATTGTTCTCCATTTGTGAGTTCCTATTTCCTTGTGTTTTTTCATTTTCCTTTTTTTTTTTTACTTGTGTTTATATTTCTTGAAACCTTATGGGAATTTTTTGAGACCCGAGTTAAGGTGGCATACTAGGTTGAGTTCTCTAGAGAAACAGAACCCTTCTCTTCTCTTTGTTCTAATGTTCAGAACAGGCTTTTTGTCTTGGAGTCGCTTAATAGGGCATAGAACCATTTTAAATGACTGATTTTTATATAGGGCTCTTGGGATGTCAGCATCTCATAGTATGAAGAAGTCTGGGAATAATCACAAAGTGTCGAGTAGATGTCTTGGCAAACTGATGGAACCTATTGTTAGGTACAAGTTGTCTGCAAGGAGACTATAAAAGCAAGGTCTGGTCCTGGGAAGCAGGTGGATGTCCAAGCATGAACAAGGAACCCTGGATCTGGGGATTCAGGCAGGAGGAAGCAGGAAAGTGAAGAGGACTGTCGAAAGCAGGTTTGAGCTCTAACCCTGAATAATGGTGGTATTGAGTAGGAAACCAAATCAGGATCCTTTTCTTGAAACTCGAATCTTAGGACAGAGGCTTAGTAATATTTTAGTGTAAGGAAGGAGACTGCTTGCTGGATACCAGGGTGCATGATCATACCAGGTGAACTTGATATCAGCCATATCTTTGTTTTTGTTATTATATTACCCAAGTAGAAGTAGATTGGTTCCCAGAGCTTGGGGGCAGTGCCAGGTTAGAATACAGAATTTCTGTTGAGGGCCAAAAGCAACTTAGGGGTAAAATTGAGGTGTTCTAAAGATAGATCTTAGCAATGAGGGTACTAAGTATGGACACTACCAATGCCTAGATTTTACTTGTTGTTCATCTAAAGATTTTTTTTGTATTAATGCTCTTTATTTGTCGCCTCTTCTCTTTTTCTAAATCTTCAGAAACTGTATGAGCTGAATAACCTCCATGCACTCATGGCAGTGGTTTCTGGCTTACAGAGCGCCCCGATTTTTAGATTGACGAAAACATGGGCGGTGAGTAATCCTCCTTAGGTTAATGAAAGGTTAGACTTCCTATTGGAAGTAAAGATGTATTCGTTTCTTTTGTAGTGCTTAGTGAGGTTAATATTATGATAATAGATAAGGATTTTTAAATTACTTTGTCCTCTGTTCTTTGAAACCTACATTTTTATGTCTCAAGTGTTTCAGGAGGCTAATCTGATAATTTTGGGATAAATTACAACTTGGTGCTTGTCTTTACTCATCTAGACAATACTGCCTTTCATGTTTACTGATGGGAAGTGTAAATACATTTAATCATGTAAAAGCTATGCTTTTGGAAAGTTTTAAGGAAAATCTAAATTTTAAGTTTCAAAAAATATACTTAGTTTCCATTAATTTTTAGTCAACTTTGGGGGTTTTCCTTAGGAATAATGGAAAGCCTGAGAGTTAGCATGCTGTTATGCAGTGTTGCTGCACATTCTGATATGTTAATCATATTTGGTTTTATTACATTGATAAGGTCAGGATGTGAATTTTTACATCTGCAAATTTGTGTATTTCGTCTTTGAGTGACATGATACTGACCTCAAGTTTTCTAGGTATTTTTTATTTAGATTTATGTAAGTAAAACTTTACATTTAATTAAGTGTGTTCATATTTAATACTGTTCTTCAATGTTAAAGGGGTTAGCCTAGTGTCACTTTCACTTTTCATAGTGTCTGCAGACAGATGTTTCTCATGAAAACCAGGGTAGATTTCTATATTGGAAAAACATTAATATGGAAGAATTTACACTCCTCTTTATATTTTAGAAACACCTGGGTGAAGGGTTTTCCTACTTTAAAATTTATTTTTCAATAATGATGTCCTTATTCTCTTTTCTTAATTTGAATTTCATGGAGGAATGGAAATGATTATAAATATGCAGTTATGAATTCCATCTTTGAAGTTTTGGGGGAAAGAATTATACTCTGATTTATATTGTGGTTTAGAAATGAGCTACATTTTCCTCAAGTTAATTTTCATTTTCCTTGAAGATATTTTTTTGTCTCCTTCATGTATTTGCATGGAAAAGATTTTTTTAAATTCAATAACAGCTCCATTATTAATCTAAATAAAATTTTTGGTGTTTATATTAAATTTTAAAATATTCCATACTGTACCAGGCACTGTGTAATTTGCTTGACATAAAACAGTAAGTGATATAGACAGTCCCATTCTTATATAGCTAACAGTCTACTGGGAAAAGATAAACTGTAAATAAATAAATGATGTATCATAAATAGTGATGAACGCTCTGAAGAAAAATAAAGCAGAGTAAATGGGACAGAAGGGGAAGGAAGTATTTCATATAATATGTTGTAAGAGAGTCTCTGATAAGTGAGAGTTGGGGAGAGACCTGAAGGAATTGAGAGAGCCATTCATGTGGATATCTGGGAGAAGAGAATTCCGAGCAGAGGTAGTAGCCAGTACAAAGGCCCCAATAATGTTCAAAGAATAGCAGGGTGGTCATTGTTGACAGTGGAGTAAGCTAGGGAGTGGTTGATGTGGGAGACGAGTCCAGAGAGGTGGCATCGAGTTAGATATTGGAGATGCTATTTGCTGATATTCAGGGCAGTGTAGATATTTTTTGGGCGACTGACCTTGCTTTTCTTTTATTCTCCTTGATTATCTTTATGTTTTTCAAAGGGCACACACAACAAATCTACCCACAAGCCTCTTAAAACAGTTTCAGTTGATTATTCAACTGTGTGGATACAGCCAGTGGTCAAAGGGATAAAAGAAAAAATGTCAAAAATCCAAAAATGTAAACCAGTTTACAAATATTGTGGCCATAGTTAAATTTGTCAAGAAAAACTTGTCAACAAAAATTGCTTAACCATTTAAAATAGCAAAGATGGGAAATAATGTATTATAATTTACTAACTTAATGATTTTATGTACATGTCTGATTTTGTCACTTATGTATTACCAAAATATAATTAAAGAATGTATAACTTTGAAATTAAATTTAAATTTACGGTAAATACAACACAGCTTCAAGTCTTTGCTATAATAAAATGGGATTTGGAAATAACTTAGGCTTTTCTGTTTGTTTTTTAGTTACTAAGTCGAAAAGACAAAACTACCTTTGAAAAATTAGAATATGTAATGAGTAAAGAAGATAACTACAAAAGACTCAGAGACTATATAAGTAGCTTAAAGATGACACCCTGCATTCCCTATTTAGGTGAGTTGACGTCACCGTGTGTTCATTATGCCTGGTTAATCAGTATTTATATAAAATTCAAGGCAGTTTAAAAGTGTTTGTAACCTTTAAAGAAATTACTGGGATTATTAGGCTGAAGAGATTGACTAAAGGAATGTGTTATTACCTGGAATGTATTTTTATATTAAATTAGCCTTTGCCCTAAAGATTTTTCATAGACTATCATTTTCTGTTAAAAATAGACCCGTATGGTAAAAGAATACATTTTAGCTATTTTGTAATGCTTTTAAAGAATAAATCAGTAGTTTGCAATGAACTTTAATGCTGTAACAATATTTAGCATTAACTAAAGAAATTGACCAAGAGATTTATTAAATTTACTTTTAATATCATAAGTTCATGTTTTATACAGTTGGCAGATGTTTTAGGGTGTATTTTGAAAAGTAGTCTCAGTAATGTTGGTGTTACTGTTTTTCTGGATGAAATAAATTGTTTGGCTGGGGGAATTTAGCTTTAGTGCTAAGACAAAATAAATCTGTATTTGATATAACACTTGACTAAAGATTTACCTCTTTACTGTATATTTTACAGTATTTATAAATTCCAAGAATTATTCAAACAATAGCATTATAAGATTATTTTCACAAAAGTGTGTGTAAATTTAAATATAGAAAATGCTCTATAGAATATATGTCTAGCAAAAATTAAGTTGGTTTGATCCTATATAGAGAGTAATGAAATGGTAAACATTTCTTTCTTGCTAATATCCCTTTTTCTCCCATCTCCACTCTCTCTTTTATATAACTACTCATACCGATTTTTTGATAGCTGTTTTTGAAAGTAAATCGAAAAGCCTGTTATGTGTTCAGGAGGTGCTGCAGTGTCATCTTTGATGCCTTTACATACTGTGACATGGAAGACAAAATAGAGCCAGAGGCAGTGATACTCATTCAGCCGCTATAGAGCATCAGGCTTAGTTTGTCAGAGAACTAAGGGACCTCCTAGGATTCCAGTGAAATCGGGAATGTTGTGCACCCTATGTCGAAGGCAGATACCCCTAAACACAGTGTAGATAATGGCACTACATACCAGAACAGTGTGTCCTGTTTCTTTAATAAATGACTCAGGGCCATCGTGAGCATGACTGTACCAGAGAGCCTCTAAGCTGGATATAAGGAGAGACATTCTGCACGTGTCCACTTTTTACTGTAGCCTTGGCTGTGCCAGTCTTGAAAATGTAATTTGGGGGAGAGGAGGAATAGAGCATTTAAAAAATATCATCAACGTCTTCAAACTTTATAAAAACTTTTGTAGCATAAAGAGCATTTAACTGACAATGACAACCCTCAGTTCCAAAATGGCACCACCACACTAACTTTCCACGTCATTGAACTGTCTTCTTGGAGCCCTGCTCTCTTTCCCTAGAAATACACACAGGACCAGAATCATGGTCTTTTTAAGGCTGGATGGGACCACAGTGATCTCTTCTTTACGTTTTAGAACACAAAGGTCCAGAAGGTGGATGACCTGACTCATAGACCTAAAACCTAGTTACTACAGACCCTCAATCTGAAGGTTTGATCTAGCATCTTTCCAATTATACCTGCGAAGCTCTTGTTCTAAAATTTGCTGATTCTGTTACTGTTTTTTTTATCATTGAAATGTTTTTCTCAAATTCCATAATTTGTATCTTTTAGAAATGGAAATAAGTATTATTTTCTATTGAAAAAGAGAAAATGGCAAAATAATAATAATTCTGGTGCTCTCACGTCTAGTTCAGGGCCTTGTTTTATATTTTCCACAATGGAGACTTCAGGCAGGATTTGAAGTTGTCCCTGTGTGTGCATATGCATGTACTGTTGATGCGCATACAGAGAGAGAAGCGTGGTTGGAGTTTAGTGGAATCTGGAAAGGTTTTCCATTAAAGAATATACCTGCTTTCTCCAAACGCTGATCTCTGAAACAAACACCGTAATTATTTCTGTGGGTTAAAGCAAAGGAGGCAAATATTGCGGTGCAGAAGTTAATTTGGAGAAAACAGTAAAACCATTATCTTTCCTGTGTCTTTAGTTTGGTGTCCATTGACTTTCTTCTCTCTGGTTTTGTTTAGTCTTGTATGCTCTCCTGGCCCAGCATCTTCCCTTTCACTGTCACCATGTAATTTCTCCTTCATGCCTAAGCCAGTAAAAAAGCCACCCTATTCCTCCTTTCTCCTTGCTGCTTCCTTTTGCTCAGCATGTATCCCTCTTCACTTGTAGAAATTTCCCAATAAGGTCACCACTGACTTCCACTTTGAAGTATTTAATAAGTATTTCTCAAACCTCATCTTAAATTTGTGAGGTTGATACTAGTTATTTCTGCTTCTTGAAATTCTCCACTCGTAGCACCTGTCTCTTGGTTTATCTTCTATATTCTGGCTTTTGTTTTAATGGCTTCTCTTTCTCTGCCTTTGTCTTAAATCTATTCTTCTAGAGGTGTCTCAGTCTACATTTTTTCTTATTATCTATACTCATTTGGAGTGGTCTCATTCAGATTTTTCCACATATCACCTGATGACTCTCAGATCTAGACTAGACTTTTATATCTAGCTGCCTATGTAATTCCTGAGGCCTGATAGCATCTTAGCTATTCAGATACTGATTGCATGAGATACCTGTATTAACTCTAAGTCAGCATGTCCAGAAATAAATTCATCATCTTTCCCCTTCCTCCATACCGGATCCCCATCTTATCTCCCAGCCTCATGTACCAGTGATCATGGTGTGGCATTGTTTACACTACTCCCTCACACTAGAAACCTGGGGGGTTTACGGAATTTCTCCTCTTCATCTACTTCTCATATTCTCTGTTGAAATGAGATGCGTCTTTCTGAGGGTTATCCAAAATTTGAAATCAAAAGGGGGGAAATGGCAAAGTACTTAGAGGATATACATTTTAATATCTGTATAATTTTATATTTTGAAGTCTTCATATATTATTCATCCCTTTATTGGTTTGTGAAGCATCTGAGGCTGTGATGTAATTGCGCAACATTTGGCATAAATATTTTGGTAGACTTGTGAAAGGAAAATGAAACATTTGTCAGATAAATTATTGTGACTCAGTTTAGCTTATTTCCAGCATGAAAATCTTTTTAATATAGTGTTGATTTTGTTTTATAAAGCAGATCTTGAAATTAAATGTATTTCATCTATCAGAACACACATGCTTTTCTTAAGGAAATGTGAAGCATTTTCAACTTATACAGCCGTGACTACCTGATTTATTTACATCATAGACAGCTGGTTCTTTTTTTCATTCCTGATCTTCAGTTCCAGAGTGTTCTGAAGAATGAAGATTTAACAGTAGTTTATATCTTGGTAATATTTACTTTGTTCATATTTTGTTCTAATTTAAAATGAATTAGGGTCATGATTTTTTAATTTAACTTGTCTTGATTTTAGAATCCTTTACCCCTCATAAGAAACAATTGCCAAAAATGTCAACATTTACAAGATGCTGTATGGTTGATAGGACAGAATTTACTCTGAAGACATTTGAAAGATAACATTTATTATGGAAATTGGTAGTTTCTGTTCAACTGTCCCTCTTCAAGCATACTGAATTTGCATAATGCTACCCTTTATTCCTTATGTCTGCAAAGGTTCATTTGCAAAGATGTATCAACCTGAGGAATCTGTAGTGCCTAGAGAAAAGGCAAAGACTCCTGGCATGTTTCTTAACATGAGAGATGTGATTCAAACGGATGGTGTTTGCCCCTAAAAGTCATGATCAAAACCGACCATTCTTTATGAAACTTAAAAAAGGAGGTGGAGTTTTATATGCTGACAGACTCTTTACTTTGATACTGCCAGATTTATCCATAATTCAGTGTGGATTCAATTCTACAAAGTAGAAAATGTTTTTTTGGCTTTCAATTCATCATCCCTTGAAAAGTTGTCTCTTCTGTTGGGTTCTCATTCAAAGTAAAAATTAGCCTGGACAGACAATACAGTAAATAATTCTTAGAGCAAGGATACAGTTTTTTTGGAGAGGAATAGTTTGGCAAATCTCAAGGAAAAAATTGTTTTATATGAGAATTATTGCTTAAAATCTGAAAATCATTAACAGCATTCATTTGTTCTTGTCATTGAAGAACAATCTTAAGGGGTTTATGGAAGAATTTGGCATAGGAAGTTTTACTTTGCTGGAGAGGAAGAAAAGCAGAACATTGTGCAAAAATAATTTAGTTGTATGAAACCTGATATCTTTCATGTGCATTTTCTAGCCTCATTTCTGTTTTACGTAATTTTGGGAAAATGCAGTAGCTCAACTGACTTATGTTTTCTGGGAAAGAAAGCATACAGGGTGGGTCAAAAGTTGGTTTACGTTGTTTGTATGGAAAATCATACAATAACAAATAAATAATAATACAATAATAAAATTCAAGTTTTACGTACTCACAACTATAAACCTACTTTTGCCCCACTCTGTATTTCTAAAACTCTGGCGATAAGTAAATTGTTGCCGTTCTATATATTGCTTTCTATTAAGTAGAAGCCCAGTTTTTGTTAAGCTTCTGCCCTTCTGTGGGGCACAGATACCTTGTTTTGGTGTATCTGGGTATGACTCCTTGCTCTTGTAGAGAGAGCTCCCCCTCCCACATGCACTTAGTTTTTATTTAATGTGTTAGATTTTCATAATAGCTCCCCCTTTTATTTTTTTGAGAAGAGAAAAGCTGTTTTTAGAATAGCCCTCTGTAATGCAGTGCCCTCTCCATCCCGTGTTCTCTGAAAAGCATCATTTTATTTTCATCATGATGTTTGCACTAATCTCTGTCCCCCTCAGCCGTGTGTAAGCCCTTCTTCTTTTTTCTTTTTTAATCCTCACCTGAAGATATTTTTCCATTGATTTTTAGAGAGAGGGAAAGACAGAGAGAAATATCGATGTGAGAGAAACACAACAATTGGTTTCCTCCTGCACAGGCCCAAGCCAGGGAGGAGCCTGCAACCGAGGTACATGCTCTTGACTAGAATCAAACC